TAAGTTTAAGAACTTATTTGTAAATAATATTAATGTATATACATATGTATAATAATTGAAATGTGACTGTACTTTAAACACAGCAAAGACATATCATTTTGTAAAGTCTAAAGGTCAGTTTTATATTATTGGATATGGTAACATGAGAGCATGTGTGCCACATCATTGTAACTTCTGTATTGTTAACCAGGCATGACTGGAAAGTCAGTATAATAAATATATATAAATGTATAATGCTATGAGATTTAAGTTATTTAGACTAAACATTTGTGTTTTCGTGTTATAATCTGTAGTCATTCTAGAACAAAAAAAGCATAATTTAAATTTACTTCTTAATTTTTATGGTGATTACGAGGGTGGTCAAATTGACAGACCCAATAGAGTTAGAGTAGAGAAAATAGCAGAAAAAATATAAAGTTTTACTGAAAACAAACATTTGAAATGTACTTACACAAATAATATTTCAGATTTTTGGGACTAACAATAGTTTTTTAGTTATAACATGAAAGTCACTTTGCACTTGGACTGGTAATGAGACAGCCTCAATATTTTTGCAAACAAATCTATAATAAAAATACTTCATTAAAAAATCTGATTTTTTGTGTACGAAAGACATGTAATCTTTACTAAAAGTCTACCAAAATTTGTGAAGATACACTTACTACATTAAAAGTTATAGTATAAATACTTAACTCATGTATATTATATCGAATCCATTCAAAAGGATTAACTCAGTAATCAGTCAACCATTGTAACAGACTCACTGATAAGTTCGTAGTATAATAACTATAAGTTTACTAAAATCATTTTCTGAACTTTCAAAAGGGTTCTAGTCAGTAAACCATACCTATCAAATGGCATCACAAACTCCCTTTAGACAAACAATAATATAAATATCTAAGTTAAAAAACACAGCCTACAACAGTACATCCACTATCAAGAATAAGCAAGAAAACATTACAGACCCACACACTTATTCCCTGATATCTGAGTCCCTAAACATGTACAAAGGATATTGAGAACATAAAGTCAGAATAGTTTTCAAAAGCTACTACACAATACAATAACAGTTGGTACACATCAAACGAGCTAAAGGCCCAATGAAGAGTAAAAACAACATTTACAATATCCCTTGTAGAAACAAAAAGAGTGATAAAAGCTAGAATTTTGGAGCATAATGGACATAATACTGATCTATCTGCAACAATATGTCAGAGAAGACCATATGATAATTTTATATAATACTCGTATAATGGGATTTGAACCGCACACAAGAAGATGAAGCCTCTCTATCTAGTTGATAACACACTCAGTTAACCAAACACCAAACCTTTTTGAAAACATTCAAATAAGTTAGTTAATTGAAGTACTAATGAGGGAAATTCCAGATGAGTGAATGTCACACCACCCTCTATCAAGAAGACAGCAGCAGATTAGCAGCCAAAACATACAAGATAAAAATAGTTAGTAATTAATAGAGCTTGATGATTTAATGGATATAGTCAGTTACCTATAAACAGCAATTACATCAATTAGTGTCTTGTAAACTAATCAATTAATTGATTAATATCAGGAAAATGATCAACTGATCAAGATTAGTGTTTTTGATTATTCAAACGTACATAGATAAATTGGTTAACTGTCTGCTTGCTTATTTCTAATTGCAATAGTGATATATTTTAAATAAGAACATTATTATCCTTTTTGTTGATAGTGAAACATGTTTTCATTATGTAATTATCAGCTTATTTGGTTTACACAGAAAATCAATGAGAGATTACTACGTATTTTAAGAACAACATAATGATGACAGCTTGGTGGTATTTAGTCTGGTATTACTGATTCATTCACTAAGTAGGAAATGTGCATATTACTCTTAAAACAATTTCTGATAAGATACTTTTTTTTAGAAAAAAAATGTTTTGTGCAAAATGTGTGTATGGTAACCTTCAGAAGAGATCTATCGTATAAAACCAAATTTGTAACACAGTATATACTTTCAACAAACTATGACCCTGATGTATATATATAAGGTAAGAAAATTGGTGCTTTAAACAAGTGATAATATCAGGCTTGACCTTACCTCTCCTTGAGATATTGTTACTAAAAAGGATAAAAATTGTGTCTAATCCAGTAAAGTAGAATTGAACACGTGTACTTATTCAAGAAACTATGCTAATAAATTACCTGTAACCATACAAGTGAAAACAACTTTTGTTATACTATTTGTAAGAAGGTTTAGTGTGGTTTCCTTTAAAGGATGGAAGAGTGAACATCCATTCTTTGATTGACGGCTTGTTCTTTCACACCCTGGTGCCACCTGAAACTAATATTTCACATGAGGTTACTCAACTGTCAATTTCTGACATGGGATACATTTGTGTTTTCTACAAGTCTACAGAAACTGAAAAGGTATGTGAGAAATGTAGCAGTATTTCTAGAGTTAATGAGTCAATTTCTTTTTGCAATGAAATGTAAGTATGTAAATAAAAGTCGACAGAAGCAGATTTCCATGACTAGAGGCTAAGGAATATGACTATTCTGTGTGATTGACTACACATAATTCCTTTAAACATAAACTAGTGATAATTTGGAGACTGTAATAAATTAACAAATCAGTTAAATTGAAAATAGCAGGCATTTTTGTACTGATTATGAACCAGTTCATCAAGTAATACAATCAAAAAACAATTCAGTTTGAATATTAAAAGTTCCAATTTGGAGAAATTTGATCAAAATGGACAGTTAGATTTATGTAATTCAAGTAACACAAACAAGATATGATCAGTGGTGTAGTGGAGTCAGAACAGAAATATATGTCTTAAATGCAACCTACATGTATATGTATAATTCAAGAGCCAGAAATTTATTATAATTTACTTGGCACTTTGGTCAAAAATATTTCACCACTACACTTAGGGCATGATGGTGGGCAAAACAAAATACACACCCTAGCTAACTAATGAATGAATATTTGCTATAACTTATCAATGCTATAATGAAGCTACCAGTTTGGCCACCAATTTTGATTTTATCCCTTTAAGTCACATGCTCAATCCTTTTTTTGGTCACCTTTTTTTCACACCTAAGGTGTTTTTATTTGATATCATGACTATTTGTCAATACACATCAACAAATCACAACAAATAAGAAATTGACACTCGATAGTAACCTGCATTAGCTTTAGGATCGCAAGCATTTTATTCGGAACAGACCTATACTTTAAAGAACTAGTCAGATTCTTTAAAATATATGGTGATAGTTTTTCTTCTCTAAAATAGTATTAATAACTTCCTTTATAGTAACACAATGGAATTTAGATTAACAGTTTCCTGTCATCACCCGCAAGCACTCGGTACAGCCATATCAAGCATCATTACTTACATTAATTGCTTAAGCTAATATCATGTGACAATAAACACTCTTTAATTAGAAGAATTTCATAAAATTTAGCAAATCTGTGCCTTAAAGTTAGCAATGAATAATAACCATCCATCGTATGATTCTTTTGAAAACATGAGCTAGAAACTGCTAATCTAGTTTGCTTACCATAACCAATACTAATGTATCTTCACATGCTTTCTCTCTGTAGTTTTGTTCCTATAAATCTCTTAGGTGAAGCAGTAGTAAAGATTTTAGATGGGTAGCTCTCGTGACTTTGTGTGTAGGCATCTACAAAAATTTGGTCAAAATTGAGTGGTTTTGTTGAATAACTTTTCACATTGGGTTTATATTTGGACCAAATTTAACACCTAATTGTAGGTTGTAAAGATCTATCAGTGTACCAAATTTGAAAAAAATCCATAAAAGTTAAGTATT